CATCCACAGGCCACGCAGAGCTGCCGTGCCACCACGTTTTGCATAGTGAAATAAGAGGGCAGAGCAAGTAGAAAGAAAATGTTTTGAGAATGATGATGGCAACAAATGTACAAATATGCTTCACACCATGGATGGATGGGTTAAAAGAGTTGTAGGAGCCCTCAATGAAATGATTTTTTTAAGTGGGTGGAGTGTGGAGCAGGGAACCGCCCTCGGCTGGTCCTTCCCAACAGAGACCCCTCAGTTAGCCATTCTGGAAAGAGCATCTAGTCACTAAAACAAAGGTAGATGGGGGTGATGGCTTGCTTGTGTGTGGGGTGGGGTGGGAGTGCACTTCCTGTGTGCCAGGCATCGCACCCCGCCCCCATCGCTGCCGGGCAGCTCCGATCACCGCCCTTGTACAAATGGAAAACCGTGGGAACAAGACCTTAAGCTGCTGGTCGAGGTTACCTAGGAAAGTGGGGAGCCAGGTCCAACACAGCCAGCTGGACCCCAGAGCCTAGCGCTCGATCTCCACTGCGGCCACCTCCCTAGACCTCCAATGACCCTTCCACTTAGAGAGGCTGGCGTCCCACCCGGCTCAGCGAAGGTGTGGACAGCTGTGTGGTGAGTGGTGTTCTCGGCAGGCTTAATCATGCAAGTGGAGGAGACTGCAGAATGCATCTGACCCCGAAGTCCCCATTTGACAGATGCCAGTGTCTTCCCATACCCCAACTACGCTTGGAAGGCGTCCTTGGCTTGCTGTCTCTGTCGGTGTGAATGACTGCGAGCCAGTGAGTGCTCCCTGGACCCAGGTGCCCTAAGAGGTATGGGCAAACGTTCTCTCATTTGAGTCTCGAAGCCCTAAATGTAGACGTGGCTATTTCCGTTTTACAGCGGGGACTGTTGAGACTCAGAGAAGCCGAGTCAATTTCTCAAATTCATAGCATTTGCAATATGGCAGTGCCTCGACTAGAATCCATGCCAGTCCAACTCTTGAATCTACAGGCCCCTTGCTTCACTCTTGGTTGGTTGCCCTCAGGTTTCTGGCTGTCCCAACAGGAAGGCTCTGGTTGGATGCTCTGTCCCTCCCTCCCTTCCACCACTGTCTTAGACACACTTCCACTGCCATCGAGTCAATGCCGACTCACAGTGACCCTATAGGACAGGGTAGAACTGCCCCTGTGGGTTCCCGAGGCTGTAATTCCTTACAGGAATAGAAGCCCGTCTTCTTACGAGATTCTCCAAAAGACTTACACCTTTTCCACCAAAACCAAAGCTTCAGCTTGGTGCAGGCACCAGATGTCCCCATCCCTCCCTACTGCCAGGGGAGGCAGCGTACACTCTGTCCAGCTTTAAACTCGGGTTTCCTTCTGGGGGCATCATGGGGCTTCATGGCTTGAATGCCCTCCCCTGGAAAAGGGGGACCCCAGGCCAGCCCTTCAGAAGAACATTGGCCCTGGCCCTGAGTGTAGGCCAGGGTCAGGTAAGAGAGAGGAATATTATGGGCCCTAGGAGCGCTCAGTGACCCACAGTGCAGCTCAGAACCCCGCAGGGCCTTCAGAAGCAGAACTTTCCTCCAGCTCCAGTTCTGGCTCCTGCTGGGGCCTGGGAATCCCAGTGTGTGGAGTGAGGGCGCCCCCATGTGGCCAGATCGAGCTTCCAGGCCCTGATTCCTAGAGGGAGAGCTGGAAGGTGCTGGGTCCCAGGTGAGGGCTATGGAAGGACTAGATAGTGGAGGTGAGGGTCGGCAGGATGGATCTCCCCGCTTCCTCAGCACCCGCAGGAACCTCTGCTCCAGCTAGTGGAAAGTGAGCTGGTCCCATCTCAACGAGTCTGGGTTTTCTGTTCCTTTCTGCTCAAAGATTCTTTTCAACCTACACGGAAAATCACGTTTTAAAACCTATTCCACGTGAACAGACAGTAGTTTTCTTGAGGTCTCTTTCCAGTGCGGCGGCTCACCTGTCGCCTCTCTTCCAGGCTCCAGATGCTCGAGGCCATCTGCAAGCACTGGGAGGGGCCCATCAGCCTGGCCCTGTGCGCAGTGCAGTTTTAAAGTCCAGCCACGCTGCTGTTTCCTCGGCCTTATATATCCAAGTCACGGTCCCATAATGTTCGATTTCTCAGATGGGAAAAGCCTCAGTCCTGGACTCTGCATGAGAAAGAATTCACGCGGAAGCCTAGTTTGTGATCCCCGTGGGTTTTCATAAAGGAAAGAAGCAGTGTCCGGCATGACAGTAACTGAACACAGGCACCCTCGTGGCACTGCACACCCACCCGTGGCAGCCTGAGGCCAGAAAGAGAGAAACCACGGCCTGGCGGAACCGTGGCCCAGCCAAGGGGAAGGTGGAAGAGCAGATGGAAAAGAGGGCAGGTGATCTCCAGGTTCCAGCTTTTTAGGGCCTTCCGCTGGGAGACGTGGTCGATGGTACTGGTTGACTTAAGCCCACCTGGCCTAGACTGGGCCAATGCAGGTATACTGCCCACCTAGGTATACCACCCACCCTGGCTCAGGCCCTGAGTTGGCACATGCCCTTTATCGAATTCCAACTTCCTGTAGGGGAACCCTAGGCATGGAGAGCAACCACCTCCTATCTTGCTATGTAACAGGTGACCCTACTGGTTACTTGAAATACCAGAGGAATGGCTTTCAATATTACAGTATAACCAACTGGCAGATGGGTGTTAGTATTCAAAATTACTCTTGCTCTCCCTTTCCCCCAATCTCAAGGTTTAAAGAGCTCACCTCCGAAGTACAGAGTCTTTCCATATTGCGAAAGATGAAACTGGGGTACAGGTGGGATAATGCAAAATCCTAGATGTTTAGCGTCCAGGAGACATCAGGACCCTACAGAAGGCTGAATGCCAAGTAAACTGAGATTAAGGATTGTGCATAGTAGCACTGCCTCCAGAAAAAAGGCTCTGGTTAAATTGATTAGCAAGCATCATGAGGGATGAGAGATGGAGATTTTGCCCTGGTGAGTATCTTACTCCTCCAAGTTAAAGAAGAAGCCGATCTCAGCAATGCTAATTCACAGAATCACTAAGAGGAAACCGGGAGCCCACAGAGAATGCCATTGGAACAAGATAGGTGTGTCCATTTCCTTTTGTTTAGAGACAGAGGGCATGCCTAGGATCATCTATTTCCTGGTAATTGTCTGAAGAAAGTGGGCATTCTGACTGGAAGACTGCTGATTATGCACCTCTTGCTGGGCAGGGGGAAAGCTGAAATAAGCTTTGACTGTCTCTTAAGCATAGATTTTTATGTATGAAGTTCTTCAAAGTCTATTTTGGTGGGTGGGGGGTATGTGTGTGTAAATTTTTATGTTTCTCTTCAAACATTGTTCCAGAACCCTCTCTGTTTGAAGCACCTTCTATTTATCTCCTGGACTCTATTTCTCCCCCACTCTCCTGGCCTTGATGGCTCCCAGGTAGTTTGCAAAACTGGCTGTGGGGCCTTGAGGCATGACAGACTTGGCCAAATAAACACAGTATCGCTTTAGTCCTCATGGTCCACATGGTTTTCCCAGCCTTTGTGCCAGGCATTCTGGCCTCTGTACCTCTTTTCTAAACGCCCTATGGCTGGTCAGTGCTTTAGAACACACACCTTGGCTGAAAGAATGGGAGAAGCTGACATTTAGATCTTTCCGGGCACTGCCCGCTCCCCATTCCAAGAGAAAGGTCCCGGAGAAGTGCCAAGAGTTTGCTCAACGACTAACCTAAATCTTGGTGGTTTGAACCTTTTGTGGTACCACAGAAGAAAGACCTGGTGATCTTCTATTAAGACCCCAGCTATCATCAGGTGTCAACGGGATCAGGTATCAGGTATCTGAAGATCCAAACAAGCAAGTCTATCGTGATGAACCAGGGGGGTGGGAGTGGAGACCCAAAGTCCATCCTGTAGACAACTGGACACCCCCTCACAGAAGGGTCACAAGGAAGGAACAAGTCAGCCAGGGTAAAGTATATCACCAAGGAAACACTCCTCTAGTTCTTTAATTCTTCCTCCCACTGACTGTTATGACCCCAGCTCTATCTCACAAATCTGGCTAGAC